AATGAGAAATCCAAACAGGAAATTAAGAAAACAATTCCATTTACAATGAATTTGACACTTGAACAGCATGAGGATTAAGAGCACTGATCCCCAGTGCAGGTGAAAATCTGACTATAACTTTTGACTCTAAAAACTTAACTACTAATAGTCTACTGTAATATAACTATAATAGTCTACTGTATATAAAATGGGTCAATAGCTTGAAATGCAACAAAGAGTAAAGTAGAAAAGAAATGGGAGGGTGGTAGGGCCCAAGAGAGAAAACAGAGCAAGCAAAGGGTAAATTAGCTGTTTTACTGATATCTGCCAGAGTTGACACCTTCCTGCAGGTAGATCAGGTCTCGGCTGGGACTAGGGCCCTTCAAAGGGGCAAAAGTTTCCCACTTCCTTCCTCTGAGTTGCCCCACTCCAGTCTCAGCAACTCTGCTCTTCTTGATCCCAGCATTTCTCTCTGGTGCAGACAACAGACCCTAACTCTTAACTCCCCCTAGCCTCAACTTCCCTTGTCAAGGATCTAGGGGTTAGGTCTTAAGGGTTCAGATTCTCTGAAGAGGGAAGTCCCAATAGTCCTCTCATCCTTGGAGACCCTAACCCTGACACTGGGGTGCCATCAAATGGCACTGCAGCTCCAGATCTGTGAGTTTCCTGCGCACATGGAGTCAGAGGCCTGTGCATGCAGCTACAGATTTAGGGTAACAATGACCTCAGGGTAACAATGACCACAGAATTACCCCAAGGCCAGATGGTAAGAAGGTTCATTTCCAAGTCCCACAGCCTTCCTCCGGGAAGAGCAGACCTGCCCAGAATGGTCTCCAGGAGCAGAGAATTTGCACCCTGGGTGTGGAAGCCAAGTTTTTTGAACCCTGCACTATGGTCAGTGTTGTGATCTACCTGCCCAATCCTAGGCTTGAAGTGGCCTTGTGTTTGCCCTGGGCCTTCTCAGAGTTCTTGGAGGAAATCCTGCTTGGGGACATTGATCTGAGTCTTCTTTGGTCAGTCTTGAGAAAAGTTTTCCTGAGATTTCTTTTCCATTTAGAGAAAAAAGTTTAAAATGCATAAGTAAGGGGCTGTTCCCTAGGGCAGCTGGCTAACATGTGTTGCTAATATCACCAAAGTCATGGAGCCACTACATCACCTGTGGAATCTATTGCCTTACATCCAATTACAGACACTATATATTTATTGAAAAAAATCCATGTATAAGTGGATGCTAAATCATTATAAGTGATAAGTGGATGAAAATTATTTGACTTTATAAACCCATTTAAAATAGTTTAAACACATGTTATTCAAGAATCAACTGTAGAATCAGGAAGAATAAAATACAGAGAATAAACCAAGGAGGTGGAAAATTTGTACACTTAAATCTGCAATATATTGCTGAAAGAAATTAAAGATGAAACAAATAAATGGAAAGACATCCCGTATTCATAGACTGGAAGATTTAATATGTTAATCTACTACTTAATCAACTGATTCAATGTAAACCTTGTAATATCCCAAGGTACTTTTGTAGAAATTAAAAAAAAATTTCATCCTAAAATTCATACAGAATTTCAAGGAACACCACAGAGCCAAAACAATCCTGAAAAAGAAAAATTGTATTTCTCACACCTCCTCATTTGAAAACTTACTACAAATCTATGATAATTAAAACACTGTGGTTCTGATGTAAAGATACACAAACAGATTAATGGAATAGAATAACAGCCCAGAAGGAAACTCTTGCATATATGATCAAATGACTTTCAACATGGGTATCAAGACCATTCAATGGGAAAAAGAATCATTTCAACAAACAGTGCTGGGAAAACTCAATTCCAAAGACAAAAAAAAGGAGAAGTTGTACCCCTTACATTGTACACAAAAATTAACCTCAAATGGATTAAAAGTCAAAACATAAGAGCTAAAACTATAAAACTCTTAGAAGAAAACACAAGGCAAAAGCTTCATGACATTGGATTTTTGCAAATTTCTTAAATATGAATCAAAAGGAAAAAAATAAATAATCTGAAGTTCACCAAAATTAGAACCTCTTGTACATAAAACCATACTACCAACAAAGTAATGAGGCAACCCACAGAATAGGAGAAAATATTTGCCGTTCATATATATGCTAACAGATTGATACACAGAATATAAAAAGAAATCCTACAATTCAACAACAGAATAATCCAAATAGAACTGAGCAGAAGACTTGAATAGACATTTCTCCAAAGAAGATTCTCAAATGGCTACTAAGCAAATGAAAAGATGTTCAGCATCATTAATCACTAGGGAAATGCAAATCTAAATCACTAGATATGACATTATACTCATTAGGATGACTACTATAAAGAATAATAATAACAACAAAACATAACAAGTATTGGCCAGGATGTTAAGAAATTAGAACACTTTCATCCAAAACACAACAAATATTGTCCAGGATGTGAAGAAACTAGAACACTTTCGGGAATATATAGTATAGCTCCTAGGGAAAACAGTAGAGTGGTTACTCAAAAAACTAAAAATAGAATTATAATATGATACAGCAATTCCACTGCTGGGTATATACCCAAAACTATTGAAAACAGGGTCTCAATGAAATATCTGTATACCTATATTAATAGCAGCATTAATTCCAGTAGCTTACTTGTGTAAGTAACCGAAATGCCAATTGACAGATGAATGGATAAGAAAATTGTGGTATCTACATTTAATGGAATATTATTCAACCTCAAAAAAAATTGCACATGCTACAAGATGGATAGAATTTAAAGATAATATTATGCTAAGTGAAATAAGCCAGTCACAAAAAGATAAATATTTTATGATTCCACTTACATGAGATACCTAGAGTAATCCAATTCTAGAGATAGAAAATAGAATAGAGGTTTCTAGTTGTTGGAGAGAGGGAAGAATTGGGAGTGTATAATGGCACAGAGTTTCAGCTGAAGATGAAAAGGTTCTGCAGACAGATGTTCATGATGCTCACACAATTTGAATGTACTTAATGTACAGTTAAAGTGCTTAAAATGTTAAGTTTTGTATTATATATATTTTACCACACACAAAAAAAGAAATATCCAGAACTGAGGACATGTATACATTTTCATATTGGGAAACCACAACAAATTGAATAGAAAGAAAATCCACCTAAGCAAACAAATATCTATGAAATAAAACACTGTGAAATGGCAGAATACCCAGTATTAAGGAAAATGCTGAAATTTCCAGTCAATAAGGAAAAACAATAAACAGAAGTTCTTATACATCAGATTGAAAACTACATGACAATAAATTTCTCAAAGATAACACTGGACTCAAAGTCAATAAAGCAATGCTGAAATATTTCTGAAAGAAGTTCTATAGTCAAATCATCAACCAAATGTAAATGTAGCATAAAGAGATGTTTAGGTTTTCAATACTTTAAAAAAATTCACCTCTACGTATAATTTCTCAATTAACTAATGAAGAAGGCACTACATTAAAAATAAGAAAATAAATCAAGAAATAATAAGATATAATATCCAGGAAGTTAGAGTCCCAACACAGCACAGAGATAAATGAATTCTTGGGATCACAATTGAACAGACACACCAAGATGATAACTCTAAGAACAGGTTTTGAAAGCAAGCAGTCCTGATTAAATCAACAAAATGAAGGGCTCAAGCAGAAATATTTTGAAAAAATAGATATATATGTGGATGTACTTGGGGATAGTGGTGGTTTGAAAGGTATGAGATTTTCAAACAAGTTTTCAAAAAACATAATGTAAGAAAACAAACATATCCTAACAAATTGTGTGGGTCAGCTATAATATTTACATAGTTATAATAATTAAACATTAAAAATTAATTAACTTAGAGTAATGATATAGTCCTCTTAAATGAATAGAGGAGGGGATATGCAAGTGTATGCATCATAGAGAATTAAGTCTCTGTCTTTCATAGTGGAAATTTTTGAATAATATCTAAGATTAAAAATGAAATTTTAGCAGAATAAGTATGTTAGCTTGGAAATATAAAAGCAAATAACAAAGTCAGTTGAAATTATTAAATGATATAGCCTTAGGGTAGCAGGAAGAGTGAGTGGGGAATTATGAAGCATGGGACTACTAGTTTACCTTTATTTCATTTAGTTTATAAACTTATGAATTAAATAATTGAATACAAATAAAATTATTTTTAAGTAAAAGATGCAGAGCTTTATGAAATATATAAAGTACATGAAACTATAGAAGAACTGATGAAGAAACAAATAAAGTCACTGACAGATGAGGATTTGTCAGAGTCACACTAGCTGGTATACAAAGAAGAGAAAATCCATTTGGACAGACAATGGGATAAGTTTTTAAAAAGACAAGAATTTGAATATTTAAGAATTAAAAAGCTGGAAGGAGGGTGAAATGGTGAATTGCTGTCCAATAGGTATAAAATTTCAGTTATACAAGATGGAAAAATTATATCAATCCACTCTACCACCTTGTGTCTATAGTTAACAGTACTGTATTATGTACTTCAAAAACTGTCAAGAGAGTAGGTGTCATGTTAAGTGTTCTTAACAAAATAATTTAAAAAAGGCTTAAGAGAAACAATTAAGAAAAATCTTCAAATTATTTTACAAAAATGATTTTTTGATTCTTCTGTGAGATTGTCATCCGACCATAACATAAAATTGTCAGAAAAAAACTTTGCAAAACCAAAAGAAAAAAGTAAACATTTGATAAACAAAATTTTATTAACAGAAAATAAAAACAAAAATAATTACATTCATGGCCTGAAGAAAATTTAATATCATTATTTAATTGAATTAATTTATATTAATCTGATACTTGATAGATTTCCTGAAGGAGATACCAAACTGACATAGCCATATAGTAACAAAGCTAGCAATTCAATATTGTTCTTGCTAGTACCTATTTCTCCAAATTCCCAACTTTCCAAAATCAGATCCTTGATATGCATGAAATAACTAAGAATATGTATATTTATATAATATTAAATGAGATAATGGACANTTTTTTGATTTTATGCCAGTATCTTTTGTTTTTAATTCATATAAAATAGAGGAAACATGTCTTCTCTGTTCTCCAGAAATTTTTAGATCAACAGGAGTATTTATATTCTGTGGGGAAAAAAAAAAGCAATGACAACAATAATATCTCTTTTATGTGTTTTAGGGTTCTCAATGAACTCTCACATGTAATACACATTATCATGATTGATTTTCATTTAAAAAACAACAAAAAACTGTGAGATAAGCAAAGTTAAGATGAAAAGAGCTCCATTGTGTATGGTTTTGGTACGTTGTCTATTAAGAGTTCATGGTATACTTTGGATAGCGCTCTAAGGGAGATGAAGGGAAAGACAAACCTATCAGGAGGATGCAGTGACAAAAAGAACCAGGAGGGAAGAAAAGTAAGGAATAAACAAATATCTGGGCAAGAAAATGTTCCCCAGAAAGCCTGAAGAAGATTCAGAACAAGAAAGGAGAGAGAAAATTATTTCACAGTACACTGAAAGGCAGTAACTTAGGAAGAAATAAAAATGGGGCCAGAATTATTACAAGTTGTAAAATACATATGGATCAAATATATGTGGATGGAGTACAATTAGAATATTAAAAAGGAAGTTTGTGAAGAATTGGGCCACTGTCAGATGTAAACTATACAGTGTCTGTACACTAGTAGGGAATGTTTTAATAATTACTAATGTTATCTCTCTTTCTCATCACAGTCCATCCAGGACCAGTATAGAGTACTCATCCATTAGGTCATCAGGAACCAGGCCCTTTCAAAACCTGGTTCATCTTCTGCATCTACAGGGTCCTTCTAATAACTTCTGTTTATACCTCATTGGTGGTCAATATAGCTACTATAAAGGAGAGGATAAGAAATGCAGCCTTTTTGGTAGGTACTTTGCTGCCTGGAATAAAACTGGGGGTCTGTTCCCAAGAAAGAAGTAAAGGACAGATACTGGTAGGCAACCAACTGTCTGTAACAGGGGAAAAAATATCAGAATCTTGGGAGAGGATATATGTATGTATTTTGAAAAACCTTCCCAGGAAATTGTGTTTTCCTTGATGAGAACTAGTAGTCTAAATCCTGAAGACTCACAAATATATGTCTTGGTAAAGATCTCCTTTCTGAGATGTTTGCCTTTATATATTTGATTATGGAATACTAATATATAATGTTTATCACTTGCCACTGTTGTTCTTATAGATATTAATTTATGTAATACTCATAACAATGAATGGAGCTGTGATCATTCATCCTGGAAAATCTCACAGGTATTACTTTTTTCTTTTTTCTGAAGAATCAATGATACACAATTTTACATTGGTTTAAAGTATACAACGCAGTCGTTCAACAATTTCTCATAGTATTAAATTCTCACCCTAACTAATGCAGTTACTATCTGTCAACATAGGAAGATGTTATATAATCATTGGCTATATTCTCCTCACAGACATTTCATATTCAGGACAATTGAAGTCATATCTTTACTCCAAAACTATTAATACTTATTTCTAATTCTGGGGAATAGCACCACCTTAATCTGAGGAGAGAAAAGTCACAAAAACTAATAAAATTTTGAGTACTCATCTTATTTCCTCTACCTTGATCTGTCCACCTGTTCAAACCTTTTATTCGACAATTTAGAAGAGATACTTGTATATGTGTCTGCTGCTCTGTATTTACGATTTTATGCTCAAAGTTCTATACCACAAAATCCAGATACACTTAGTTAAATTTCTCAAGTTTCTTATCATTTAAATTTTACATGCTGTACTCTCTAATTCATTTATTGGAAATGATTTGTCTCTACCCAGTGATTCATTGTGCAAGGATTTTTTTTAATGTTCATGACAAGTACTAGGTATTATATAGTCCTAGAATACATCTCAGTTCTTATTCTACACTAAAGAATACTTTACTAATCAACTCTTACACAACACAATTTCTTTCCAGTCTTCACATGACAAAAATACAACTTTTGGCTAGAAAGACAAACAATAGGTATTTTTGAGCTCATATGGTCTCTTAATATTTAAAAATTGTTCTTAAGATTGAAAAGAATAATTATAATAACATACAATATCAACACATTATTAAAATAACATTCTTTTAAGTAATGTTGCTGCTATTTTCATCTGGGTTCAATTCTATTTAACAAAGTGTGACCAAGAAAAAAAAATGTAGACCACTATTTTGCAGTGAAATCTGTAACAATTTATTCCAAGTGCTTTTTAAACCTCAAATTCATCTACCAGTTCTCTTCAACCAGTGTTCTGCATCACCACTCTTCTTGTACCTTCTAACTTTTATGAATTATTCTCTATTTTGATAACCTGTTTCCTTCCTAACAATGCAATTCACTGTAAGTTAAAAATCACCTCAAATTCTGTTTCAACCATAGAAATAAATCCATTCTTTCTTCTAGATATCACACTAATAACCTGTACATGAGAAAACAATGACAGTGAAATGTAAGGATATGTTCAACAATTCTATTTCTACAAGAATTTATTTCTTTACTCTCCCCTGGAAAGAATGAAATTTTTTAAAAAAGTATATCTATCTTTTGGATCTAAGTATACAATCCCTATCACAAATAAAGTTAACTTACAGAGTCGTGAAATTTAAAAATTAAATAGATTAAATATATATTTTTAAAATCTAAATATTTTTATTCTATTTAAAAATTAAATAGATAGTTCCTTAAGGAAATATATTTTCTTTAGTTCTCCTGCTTATCATTTTCTATATATCCATATCATTGCTTTTCATATTTTAAAAAAATTTTCCTTCCTTGGCTTTTTTTAAAAGAAGAATCCACGATAAAGGGTAAATATGTGACAGTGAAACAAAGCTATAGGAAGATGATCAGAGAGCCTAAGTTCTAAATATAATGAGGCTTACACAGGCAATCAAGGTAAAGAAAATGGGCTTTCCTGTTATATGTACTTCAGGAAGGAAAAGAAAGGACATGCCCACTTATAGACTGATCTTTGAAATCATGGGAAAAGAAAAGTTATCAGAAGACTGATGATAAGCTAATAAGTACCCTCTTTTCATAATAGAAAGCAACATGTATTAACTAAAATGCCCAAAGCCTAAAACTGGTCCTTGATAATTTTATAAAATATATCAAGGATGTTCAATTGTATTTAGAAAAGGAATAGTCAGTGGGGAGCAGTCTAAGTTGACAACAAACTAATTACATCAGATATAATTTCATTTTTAACAGGGTCAAAACGAAGTCATATTCAAATAGCTTTGACATGTTAAAACCGCATTTCAGCAATATGTTTGACAAATGCTTTCAGTACTTATAAAAAGACAATACAATCAGATGGAGATAAAAGATACTGAATCATAACATGGAAAAGAGTAAGGATTAATAAAATGATGTCAACATGACAGGAAATCTCTAATATCATGATAATGTGGACCTGTTCTTAGTCCTGTCCTGATCAATATTTATATGAATGATCTGAATAAAAATATAAAGGAAATACTTATCAATTTTCAAATGAGGTGGTAAAAGAACAAAATTCATTAACAACAATCAGAAATTTAAAATAAAAATATTATCAGTAGCCTGGAGCAATGGGTCAAATTAAACAGATGAGGCTTAATAGGAATAAATATTGCAGTTGGGCAAAATGAACTTAACCACTATAATGCATAATATGATTTAAAAACATGAGTGATAGGAGAACAAAACATTTTGGTTAAAAGTAAAATAATTAAAAGAGACCACTGTGTGATGTCTTACACTGTCTTAAGCATTTCACTGAGAATGAAGAAATGTCAATCTTATCATACTCATTCTGATGAGAACTATAGCTGAAGCACTATGTCAGTGAGGTGATTTATTTTCAGATTATTATAGATAATCTAGAACATGAAAAGAAAGCAGCCTACCTACTGAACTATTTTTAAAGTAAGCCCTATATAAATAAACCATGTTTAAATCCAGAGTAAACAGAGAGATTCATGTCCTCGATCTGACATTTTCCTGATCTTTTGCCTTTTTTCTGAAACCCAGTATCTAAGACATCAGCAAAACTTGTCAATTCCACCTCCTGAATATATTTCAAATCTATTCACTTCTCTTTTCACTTTATTTCTCTAATCTAAGCTATAATCAGCCCTTCCAACCACAAATTTGTTTCTCTTCTATTGGTCTCTACCTTCACCCTGGCTCTTACAGGACACATTTACATTTGTCAAAAGGTAAATCTGATCATATTTTTCTTCAGTTTTAAATTTCTTGATGGATGCCCAAGGTGCTCAGTCCTTACTATCAGCTGCAAAAAACAGCAAAAATATGGCCCTTGACAACAGAGTCAAACTCATTTCGTCCTGTTCTTGACTTTGGTCATTATATTCTTGCACATCCTCACTAGAACACTCTCCTTCCTATACTTTGTGTGGCTAGTATCTTATCCTTCAGGGGTTAATTTTAAATATTATCTCCTTAGAAAAACTATAAGAAGTAGGCTTTCTCTTACTAATCTCTATCTCACGCCCTTCTTATTCATAACATTTATCACAATTAGTTTACTTGGGTTAAAACTTGTTTTTACTTGTTTTTTCTAGAATCTAGTCCACAAAGGCAAGAACTTTGCTTATCTTGTTTACTTAGTGCCAAGAATGGCCTCTGGCACTCAACAGGCACTCAATAATTATTTGCTAAATTGAAAGAACAGAACCAAAGAAAAGTACTAGAAGGATTGAGTGGAAGTTTACGAACTTTGGTTCAATATAACATAAAGTGAAACTCCATTTTTTGGAGAAAGTCTAATAAAGACATAATAAAATTCCTAGCTTGTATTTTTTTAAAGGACTCTATCCCAAGTTATGTTTTTCAACATTCCCTTCTTTTAACACTGAGATCTTCCATACTCCAGTCACTCAGCATCTCTTCACAACTCTCCCACCCACTTCTAAGCTCTTCATCATGTACATCAACTTAAACTCTCTGAATTTTTTTAAGTCTCTTCTACTTTACCATTCCTTAATATTAACTATACACAAAAAATGCATAAACATAACCATCTGCTAGGAATAATTATATCTTTAACTTGGGCATATGTCTCTATTCTGTTGATTA